ATTTTATTTTTGAGACGGGGGGCGGGGATCTGAAACTCCCACCTTAGTCTCCTGAGCAGCTGGGATTATAGGTGTCCATCACTGCACCTGGCTCCCAATTTGCAGGGACTGATATGAGAACAGGACAATGCTTTGTGTTACAAGACAGCTGATCATTCTTTATGTTTGGCTGACCTAGAAATGTATCCATATATTAGTATGAGTTGTGTTATAAAAGAGACAACTATGGACTTTGTTCCTGAGAGTTTTACGTGACAACATATGTACTTCTTCATGCAGAAACATCCATTTATCCTGATATTAAACTGAGAGAAAAGCCAACTTCTTAGGAAAAACAGAACTGAGATAAAAGAGCTTATGCTATGCTATGGTCTGAATGTTAGTATTCTCCCCAAATTCATATGTTAGAACCTAAGTCCCAATGTGAGAGTACTAAGATATGGGGAAGTGACTAAGTCATGAGGGTCCCCCCCGCCATGAACAGGATTAGTGCCTTTATGAGAGAGTTCCCTTGCTCCCTTCCATCATGTGAGGATGAAATCAGGAGGTGACATTCATAACCCAGAGAACCAGCTCTTACTGGATACAGATCTGCTGGCACCTTGGTCGTGGGTTTAGTCTCTAGAACTGTGAGTAATACATTCCTGCTGTTACTAAATCAGTTATATTAAGGTATTTTGTTATAGCAGCATCAATGGACTAAGATATGCTTCCATTTTAGCAATTTTCAAATTACTACATTACTCAATTTTCACATTATGTTTACTAGTCCAGAATTGAGGAAAACAGATTTGAATGCTAAAAGTTACTGAGAGCTAGCATTTGCTCTTAAACTTTTGCATTCCTCCTGGATAAAGCCTTGAAATTCAAAAGTTATTCTTAATCTTGACCCTGCTAGTTTATATTATGCTATATTTTTACCAATACCAATGGGCTGGTGAAAGAAACCTACACCCAAAAAGCATATGGATTTGATATTTCATACTAGAAAATTAAGGACATCTGTTTTTTGCTATAAATATGGTTTTTAAAAAAGTCTAAACATAAAGTACTAGTCCAATTCATCAATTTTTTGGAATGAATTTCATTATTATATGTCTTAATAATATGAGTTGTGTTGTTTTTTCTGTAGTAAAAAAAAACAGTTTTCACATTATCAGTTGAAACCACATTGAAAAGAGACATTTTAAAAATTGACAACAAGTTTATTTCAAGTAAACTTGATAGAAATATTCTAGCAGAGGAAAAAAAATCCCTTGAAGACATAAAAATGCATTTATAAGAGTTAAAGGAATCATATACCTTGAAAACTATTTGCTGATATCTAAAATATATCTAAAATTTTATATATACTGTATTTTATTTATTTAACTTGGCCATACAGTTTTAATTAACTTCTCTGTGGTGGGATTAGCTTCACTGAAATAGGTACACTCCACTGTGAGCTGAACAGCCACCTTATGTACCACAGATTTCCAACATAAACTATAATTCATAAAGGCCAATACAACTCTTTTCTTTGTAGCTGGGTAACCATTTATGTTTGAGGTGAAGATGTTAATATGGAAATTTTGTGAGCTAGGAAAGAGGACGAACGCTATCATTCTAATTTATGACCTTTCATACAAGGCCAAACATACAGGCAACTTCAATTGTTTTATATCTCAGGGCCAGCACATAGCAGATGTATGAAATCTGGAGTGTTAGACATAAACTTTTATTACCAAATTATAAATAATTTCTCCCACTTATAACGTTCACCTTTCAAGTTCATCTTGATTAAAATACAAGGGCAGCTTCACGCCGATTTCACTGAATTTTACAGCTGAGAGAAGTTCCTGGAGTTCATGGTGGAGCATAAAGCATTGCAGTACTGGGGAGTTTTTACTCACGGGGGTTCAGGCTGTGAGGCTGTCTCTTTTGGAATTCAAGTTGTTCTAAAATGATGGCTGATGATATCTGAGCATTTAAACATCTCAAATATTATATCTGAAACCAAGTACCCATGAGGTAGAATATAGACTTGCTTTGAGTAAAGACAAAAGACATACTGCCTTTCCTGAGAAATCTGCCTACCAGTCAATAATGGAATGCAAAATGGTGCAGCCATATTGGAAAACCTTTCCAAAATGTCTTCTCAGAAGATGCTCAACAGCTATGAAGTGTCTTTCTTCCCATTTTCTTTAACAAATAATTTTCGCATCTCAGATGAATGGTAGATAACAATGGTGCCAAATACCCCAAACTAGAGCAGCATGACTTTATTATCTGAAGGCCTAGGAACAGTCTAGATCCAGGCCAGCATTTCATTCCAGTTAATACATTGCTCAAGCAAAACCAGTCAGTGTTCTAGAAGCTTAACACCAATGTTAGGTATTAGACTCTGCTTTGGAGAGTGTTTGCCAATCCGATTCAGTGTTTATGTTTATCATTATCATCGTCGTCATCATCATCATCATCAAAATGTTCATGGGATTGTTGGCTTTTTAAAAAATAGGCCAGAAATGATACCTTCTCCTATGAACATGTAACACTTAAGGACAAAGCTATTCAAAAATACAGGTAAAAAGAGCCATATGTAGAACAATGAAATGATAAGAGTTCATATTGGTATGAACATATTGGAATAGCATTTGTCTTTACCCAAATCTATAAACTCAACAGTAAAAAAAGAACAACCTGATTCAAAAATGGGCCAAAGACCTGAACAGATACCTCAGCAAAGAAAAATACAGATTTGTAATAAGCATATAAAACAATATTTTACATCATATGTCATCAAGGAATTGCAAATCAAAGCAACAACGAGACACCACTACACACCTATTAGAATGGTAAAACTAAAGCACTGGGAATGTCATTTGCTGGTGAGGATGTGGAACAAGAGGAACTTTCATCACTGTTAGTGAGAATGCAAAATGAGACAGCCATACTGGAAGACCATTCAGCAGTTTCTTACAAACCTATACATTCTCTTACCATATGATACGATCCAGGAACCACAGTCCTTAATATTGGCCCAAATCAGTTCAAAACATAATTCTGCACAAAAACCTGCATATGGATGTTACAGTCACTTTACTCACTTGGAAGCAACCAAGATGTCCTTCAGTAAGTGAATAAGCCAATAAATGGGTGTATATCCATATGGAGTATTATTCAACACTTCAAAGAAATGAATTATCAAGCCATAAAAAGATATGGAAGATTCTTAAACTCATTTTACTAAGTGAAAGAAGCTAGTCAGAAAAGGCTACCCAGTGGGATAATGTAGTGTGTGTACTACCAACTATATGACATTGTGGAAGTGGAAAAGCCATGGAGACAATAAAAACATCAGTGCTTACTACGGGTTGGGGGAGGAAGAGGTGGAGCATAGAGGATTTTTAGGGCAGTGAAACTGTTCTGTGTGATATTGTAATAGTGGATACCTGTCATTACACATTTCTCAAAATCCACAGAATCCAAAACACCAAGAGTGGGTCCTAACATAAACCTATGGACTTTGGAGATAATAATGAAGTGTCAGTGTAGGTTTGTCAATTGTAACAACTAAATTATGCAAGCTAAACCAAACCTTGCCAGATTATTTTTATGACTTCAAGCTTCCTTAATAAAGTAAGGTTTATGTTCAGGGTTTTGAAGTCCAGTTCTTGAACTAGTATTTAGAAAAAGTTTTGCAAACACTTTCTTTGTAATATAATAAAAAATGCTGGGAAGAAACACATGTGAAATATGGAAAGTTGCCTCGTGAGTTAGTAAAAGCTAATTGTAAATTGCTGAGGGGTTTCTGGGAACAACCACTTTTTTTTTTCTTTTTTGCTTTGTTTTGTTTTGTTCTGAAACCACATTTGTTACAAGCTTGTTGGCCCAAGCCATGTGTCTAGCTAGGCTCTTATACAACTATGTCCCTTGGAAAAGGTGGCAGCTGCTCTGCAAATGACCCAGGCCCTGAAAGCTCATCACTCCCTGCTTACCACACTAGGCTTAATGGCTCCCTCATGGCTCTGTGGCAAAGTGAAAGCAGCTATGAGTCAAAAAAACCTCTCCTTTTTTGAATGATTAAAATCAGTGAAGAATGTGATACCATTTCATGTCTTTTGTGAAGAAGAACTTTAGGGACAGGCCTTTGTATCCTATGGTTGTTTTTTGCAGCTACTTCTTTGATTCAAATAACACTTAAAGTTTTTATTTTTCTAACATTTTATACTGTGAAATTTCAAATGCAGCCTTCTCAATAAATCTATAACTGTTTGGTCTTTACCCAAACTGAGTTTTTATAGGATAGAAGAAAGTCTCTTTTTACCAAACCATACCCATTTACTCTCTCCACGACGTCAATAAGAGGTTCATTTCTTTTGCCTTTAGCTAAGAGGCACGTACAAGAAAGGAAAATCACATTTTTGTCTTAAAAAGAACTTCTGTATCTTAGATCTCATAACATAGGATCTATGGTTTGCAGATATCACAGTATCACTGAGTTTATAGCGTTAAACTAAAGTATAAATTTGAAGCTGATAAGGATTCGTGAGCAGAGAACCATTTTCTTGTTCCTCTCCAAAAATATTGAGAATTCACACAAACTTCCAAACCAAGTCCTCATAACAGCAATTAAATAATATCTGCGTATCACTTCCAATTTGAATGAGTTTGTACTGAATCACAATTTATGCCATTATAATTCGGGGTTATTTGATGGTATTAATTGGATCACTATCTTGTTAATAGTGACTTAGTATTCACACATTTAATTAATATCCAAAGGTGGATTTTAAAATTTGAGGCTGTTTTATTTTCTGTAAATTATTTCTGTATACTCACTGTCCATTATTTTAATAGTATATTTCAGTTTCCTGTGACTTCAAGTTCTTCCTTACACTTCTGTAAAGAAATCTTACCCAAAAGATCACTAGCAATTTTCTTCTAAATTTTGTTTTGGATTTGTGCGTGCCGCAGTTGTTCGACATTTCCGGACCCCGCGGGCTACCGTAGCCAAGGAATGCACTGATTGGCTGAGCCAGAAAGAATCCGCTGCCTGGGCGGTTTCGGTTTTCGCCGCGACCGTTTGCGAGGCCGGGCTCGTGGGGCTCTTGGAGTCGGGCTTCTGCTTCCCGGCCTCAAGGTGAGCTGACGCTCGGGACAAGGGCGGGGTCGCGCCATGCCTCAGGTGTGCTCCCCAGTGTTCCGTCGCGACGGGCGGCAGCCCAGCGGGCCGGCCCAGGAAAAGGCCCAGCGTGCGCGGGCTAGAGCCCGGGAAGGGAGCGCGGGCCTGGGCTCCGGGAAGGGCCGGGACGCCTGTGACGGTGGAAGGCGCTTTGACCGCGCTGCGAGGAGCGGCACCGTCCCGGCCTCTCTCCTCGGAGTTGGCTTCCTGGACTGTTCCTGGTGGTGGTGGAAGTTTCCCCAGGGAACCCCAATGCTAACCCGGGGCTTTGGCGGGAAAACAGACCCGAACCCCCGCGCAGGCTTCATCTGCTTTCCAGGGCTGCAGGAAATGGTTGGGCCTCCGCTCCATAGCGGTGGTTGAGCCTAACCCAAGGAATAAAGAGCTAGCTTTTCTTACCGAGTTGTCAGATCGTGTAGTTGTTATCGCGGAAGGTTTTTGGAGTGTGTGTGTGTGTGTGTGTGTGTGCGCGCGCGCGCGCGCGCGTGTGCATAGCGGGAGGGTGTGTGTGGTGTCTAAGATTAAGATGTTGCAGATAACGTTGATAGAGATTTAATGTGTTCTCTCAACCCCAGCCTCCTTCATAATTGGTATATGATTGTTGCAGAAGAATTGAAAATGCAAAACACTGGTGAAGAATATGTTGCTGAACCCTTCCACCTATAATCTTTTTCCGATGTATGTGCTAGCTTCTACTTTGGCAAAGTACTTGTTTTATTAAGCTTCCCGTGTCCATTTAACATCTCTTCCTAAATATTTCTAATTGTGTTTCTTTTGGTTGACAGTCTTTTCATCATTGTGTAGATCCCACCTGTAAGACATTTAGGTTGTTTTGAGTTCTTGCCTTATTTTAGCATACGAAATAATACTTTGATAAATCTATACTTCAGATTACTTCTTTGAACTAGATTCTTAGAAGTGTAATTGTTAGATACTCTGATCTAATAAGGCCTTAAGATCTGCCGGCACATTGTCAGATGGTTTTTTACAAAAAGTTTTAGTAGTTTACATTCATACAGGTTTGTGCCTGTTTCACCAGAAACTTGGGAGCTCCTAATACACTTTTAACACGTAAAACTAGTAAAAGCAGTGCCTCTCTTTGGAATTATCATCATCATTATTATTGATAGTGATGTATGGCAATTCTGCTTGCTTGCTTGCTTACCTTTTGTGCACAGTTTTAAGAGGGGTTCTAGTGTGTGTGTCACTGAAGTTTGCATAGGCTGACTGAACGTTAGAGCAGAAAGAGACTTCAGTGGTTATCTAGCATAACTCCCTTATTTTGCAGATGATGACCATGAGGCCATGAGAGAGGAAATGGTGAGTTACTCAAGTCACACAACCAATTAAGTAGCTGAGCTGGGATTAGAACTCAGGCTTCCTGCCTCCCAAGTGAGAGTACCGTATCTGCTGCATAGGTGTTCTCTCACTGAACAGTGGCATACTAGATACCAGAGTTCCTGAAAGATATTTATATCACCTGAATTATTCTCTCCTTTTAGAATTGTACTAATAGATTTTAATCATCTGAGAGAACTGCAACAAACAGTGAAAAATGAGAAACTGACCACTTTCATGTCAGTAGAAATCCCTTTGTTAGAATGGCAACCTCATCAAGATTTTGAGAGTAGTTTTCAGAATTTCTGTATGTTAGAATAAAATATTCCTAATAAGTTATATAGTCGTCCCTCAGTATCTGAGGGGAATTGGTGTGAGAATGCCCTGGAGATACTAAAATCTATGGATTCTCGAGTTCCTTAAGTAAATGGCATAATTGCATATATGTGCATCCTCCCATATAATTTAAATCATCTCTAATACTGTGTTCAGGGAATAATACCAAAACGTCTGTACATGTTCAGTACAGATAACAACTGTGATAGATCTGCTGAAGATTTTTTTGAGTATTTTTGGTCTCCATTTGGCTGAATCCATAAAAAGCCCATCAATAATGGAGAGCTGACTAATTTATATCCCATCATCGGGTTAGAACGCAGCTATTGGTTCTCATTTGTTATACTTTGAAGATTTCTTTAAAACTTCTTTTGCTTTAAGACCAAAGAATATTTTTCTTTTTTCGTTTTTATTAGTGCTTAAAAGAACATTTCTCAACCTTAATTGACATTTTTGGGCCAGATAATCCTTTGTTGTGGAGGGCTGTCCTGTAGGATTGTAGAATGTTTAGCAACATCCCTGGCCTCTGTCCACTAGATAGCAGTAGCACCACCCTCCTCAGTCATGACAGTCGAGAATGTCTAGACATTTCCAAATGCTCCTGAGCATGGGCAATAAAAATTACCTCTACTTGAGAATTAGTGGCTTATTGGAATGCTCTGGGAAACTTTATAAAATGCAAACTGCAGTGCTTCTTGCCCGAATGGACTGTAGGAATCTGCACTGTAACAAACATCTCTGTAGACTCAGGTGCCTCGTTTTTTTTGAACGACCCAGAAGTGTTTCTGTTTTTCCTTCTCCTTCTGTTATTTGGTGGTCAGTAATAGAGATGATACAAGGTCGGTAGCTGTTGAAGTACGTGCATTACCCTATACTGGTACCTGTGCCCAAAGTTTGGCCAGGCAGGGAGGGGATTGGACAGATTTCTCTTGGCACTTGTCTTGAGTGGCTTTTCCACGGATCTGGACAGTCTGCTTAGGTATGGGTAATATCCAAATGAGTAAGACATTCCTTGTCCTGGGGTGGTTTAGAGCCCATACTGGGAGCCTGATTGGCAAACAGGAAAATGACAAAATAGCCTGAGAGGGGCCGTGACTGAGAATGGAAAGAGATGCTATGAAGGGACTCACTTGGCCCTTGGGAGGAGAGAAGGAAAAATAGGTATGAAGCGTTCAAAAGCACGCCACTGTCTCAGAATGGAGCTGTTTAGAAAGCTGTTTTCACTGTGTGATGCCCCTTTCAGACACTGATTAACTAGTCCAGTGCTGGATTTGCTTGAGTTGTACTGTTATGTCTCCTTGTAAATTTTTGCTTTTCAAATTTTATTTCACCCTCAACTGTTAATACAAATGATGGGTAAACATTTACAAGTAAACATTGCCTAGAAATAAGGATTTTCATATCTTAATAGCACAGCTCAAAATCACATCAGATATATTTCTTTCTGTTTGGCCGTTAAATTTTGCAGGCTAATGCACCATACTTTGTCATTAGGTATTTTTCCTGCAGTTCTGTGACTGCAACAAGGACTCTCATTGTCCTCATGGCCATTCCCCAGACTTCTCAGGGCAATCTTGACAAATCCAAAAAGGCAAGTGTGGGTACCTTTCAAAGGGCTTGGGCTTTGGGGTCAAGCCTAGGTTCCACTTTCCACCTTGCAGGTGTCTCTGTGAACAGCTTATGAATCCATTGTGGCCTAGCATATCGAATGAACAAAATTTTTTATCCCCCAATTAAAAAAAAAAAGTCTCCAGCTGTTCTCATACTAGACCTCTTTGTGGCTTCTGATAGAAAATATACTACCTTTGACTTAATATCCATTTATGAAAATAGGTCATTTAAAATAAGCCTGAGTAGCAGTCGGGGAGGGACAGGAGTCAGAGAGGGGGCCTTTGGCTGTAATTTTGAAGGGAGAAGTCTTACCAAGGTGACCCTGCAGAAGGGAGGTCTTTTTCCTCTAACATTATTTGTGGTTCAAGAGTCTTTATCTCTTGCTTCAGAAATTGTCAGAACTGCTCCTTCTGCCTTATCCAATTTAAAAAAGGAAAACTTAAAATTTCTTAAGCCAAGTGATGGGAAAAATTGTGGTGTCAAGACCAATTTACTCACACAAAATGGATTTATAGGCAAGTCATTAAGTATCAGGGAGTACCGAGAAAGCCTAATGAAGACTAATGTAAAAGATACGGCTCTCCTGAAGTGATGGATAAAATGCACTTGAGGCAACCATAGTCTTTGCAAATAAGTTTAAAATTTTTTTCAAGAGATTTAGCAGAATGTAGATATTCTGCAGGGCAAATGGGGAACTGGTGACCAGTTTTCCTCTCATATGACTTAGTCTTTTGGGGAGACAGACATGCCTTTTAAAAAGAAAAGAATATAAAAAGAATGGATGGTGACAGATTGTATCAAAGGCAGCCAAATGTCAAACTAGGTGATGCCAGAGTTGAGTGGGTGGACTGTCTCCAGTCTGCTGCCGGAAGCAGAAAGTGAACCCCAAGCAAGTTCCTGCTTAAAACCCTCTCATTCTCAAATGATAGTATTTCCCAAAGTTGCCAGTTCATAAGAATCTCCTACAAATGTGCAGAGTCCTGGGTCCTACCCAGGAACCCCTAAATCGAATCTCCAAGTGACCAGATGACTCGTTTGGGGAAATGACCAGTGTCTCAAGCCTGTGGCCCTGTGAGTGTGGACTGCTCCCTTCTGTACCTTTCTGTTTACCTTCATAGGTTTTACCCTCATACCCAAATACTCTGTTCAGTGTTGTTGCTGAGACTTCTGCCTTTTCACCTGGTGGACTCCTTTTCCTTCAAACTCAGCTCTGTGTCACCTTCTGCAGAAGGCTGCCTTTGATCTTCTTTGACTGGGCTAAAAGATTTTCTCTCCTGTCACATACAGCCTTTGTAAAATTCTCCATTTCCATGGCATTTATCCCCTCCAGAGTGTAAACTCATAAGGGCCCAAGGCCAGGCCTTAACTGTGTCTCACACTTAGTCGGTGTACCTTGAAAGTCTGAAGCGTTGATTGCCTTCAGGAAGAGGCTAATGTTAATTGGAATAAAGAGGCTTAATGAGGGTGTTGTTTTTGGCAGGTTTAAATGAACACGTAATGAACACATCTGCATTTTTTAAAAGTGTGGAAATTTAATAACATCTTTAAAATAACGCATACTGTCAAGTGATAGTCTAAGTTTGTGGAGTTTTCTTCCCCATCTTTAACTTCTGTCTTTATTTTCAAATTTTTATCCTAAACTGTAAATACTCTAGGAGTAGGTAAATTACTGATAGTTAAAGTAGTTAATCCCTACAGTTAATTCCTGTGAACTAAGTTTGCACATCACAGTACATTTTAGTAGTTTTTTTTAATGCTAACTAGGCAGCTGGTCTTACCAGTTTTGAACTGAAGAAACTGGCATAATGGGATTTGGCATCTATGACAGAAATGATCCTGAGTCATGAGATGAGTGAGTTTTTATCAGGCCTTCAGCATTAGTAGTCTTTCTAGAAGTGTTCGGCTACAAAACAGCACGTGCAAGATACAAATAAGGTAGGTTAGAGATGAATGGGAAAATGTGTTGTTTTCATTAAACTCATTAAAAGCACTGAATCTGTTACAGTGTTTACTTAATAATATTTCTCTTTGCACTCAGAAAAGCATAAATAAAATTTCTGTGTGGTGTGAGTCTTGAATGAGTAGTAGTTGTGATTTTAGTTATTAAGATTATGGAGCTAAAAAAAAAATATGCTGGGAATTCAGTGGGAAAGCTAGATTAAAATTTGCTAGAATATAGTCAGTTGACCATATTTTTAAAAAATCTTTCAGGCCTGGGGCTGGGGGTGGGGGAGGCTGTCCAAATGATAGTTCCTGAAATTTGTATTTTTTTTAACTCAGATACTGACTTTTCCTGGTTAAAAAAATTACTTAAATTATGATCACTTTAATTACTCATGCCCCTTTAACAAGAATTTAAATAATTCTTCTAGACTCTAAATTCCTAAGGTCAAAGGTTCAGTGTATGACATGTTTTTGAATTTTGTTGCATAGTGTGTACAAGTAGCTTAGGTGTTTCGGGTTACTTGAACTATTGAACCTACACAAATTGACTTTGATTGAGAACATCTTCAAACAACAATCCTAAACCTGAGTTCAGATCATTGAGTAGAAACACTTGGGGTGAAATAAGCAGTGATATTTATGGGAGAATGTTTAATGAATATTTTGATTAAAAACAAACAAGAAACCAACTTGGGTTTTTGGAGTCTTTAAAATATTGTATCTGTACTAATTTTTTAAGTCTTAGTAATGTATAACTACTAAATATTAGTGATGCTGAATTTGAAACAGCAAAACTAATTTCTGTACTCTTTACTCTGTTTTTGCTAAAGCAACCTTTTTTTAAATCTAAATCAAGAGTTTTCTTTTTATTATTTTATATAACACTTCACTAAGTGACGTAGTTTTTTTCAGACATTAATTCTAAGGAATCCCTTAATAACAGCACAGTTATATAAAAATGTGAATTATAGTAATTGTTAGGCTAGCATAAGTTAACTAAATTTTATCAAGAGGTTTTGTGTCATCAGCCAATCAGTTATGTTCTTAACATAATAAACAGTAAAATCTAGCACCGTATTTTACAAATAGTATTTAAAAACTAAAATTAACTTACATAATACAGATTTTGATCATTAGAATATGGCTCAGATTCTCTAGTTTTGAAATTAGAGGTAATGGTCACGCGGAATTAGGCTTTCCTTAAGTATGAAATAGTTGAGTATCATTCTGTGGCATAATATTTACTTATGATGTTAGCAACAGTTTAAAAGTGGTACATTCTGTTTCAATTCATCAAAATATCTTATCCTCTGAAGAAGCTTGGGGAGAGAACCATTGCATTCATCTACTGGTTCTAGAACACTTTCCATGACATCGCTGATATATGGTCAGCTAACATCAACCAACATCTGCTTACATGCTTTCCATGATGGTAAACTCAGTACTTTGAGAGATCACTAGGAAGCTCAAAATGTTAAAATTATTTTGTTGAATCAAAAACATGTCACCTAAGTTTGAATACCTACCGTAACAATTTCTAGCAATATAACCTTGGGAAAATCAGTTCTTCAGCCTGATCCTGACTTCTTCACATAGAGAATAAGTATAATAAATAACATCTACTTGCTCCAATATTTGGGGAAGCTCTAGTGAAAGGGATGTAGTTAGCTACACTCCTGTTGCACAATAGATCTTAATAGATAACATTTCCTTTCTTTGATCTCTCTTTTCCCTTCCTTCCATTATTCATTATTCTCTTAAAAGAAAAATTTCCATCTCTCTCCCTCTCTCTCTTTCTCTCCCCGCCCCCCTTAGAGAAGATATCCCTTGCATAATCACAGTAAACAGTTGCAAAAGTCTTCTTTATAGATACTTTACAAATACTAATTAAATGACTTCCATATAAATGTTGATGAATTTTACAAAATCCACCATTAATGACTTCATGCTTGCCTGGTGGCTTCCCTCTGTTGGGCCTCATGGGCCTTCATTGTTTTTTTCTAGGATATTGTTTAGAATTGCTGGGAGTACTGGTTTGGTGTTCAACATTTCTCAGGTGTTCTTTGTCGTGGAAGTATCCAATTTTCCCATCGATTTTGAAAGATAATTTTGTAGGATACAACAGTCTAGGTTGGAAGTTATTTTCTTTTAGGGCTTGAAATTAAAGTAACTATTTTTTACTTTGTTTACCAAAATATTTTAGGGATACAGCTCTGGTCTAACAAAATGTTTTGAAAGGAGTAGAGCCAACTTTGTCCAGTCTGATTAATTTGGGTGTATAATGCTATCTATTTCTCTATTTCAAGCTCCTTTATTGAATTTTAAGACTATCATTTAGAGCACGTATCTGCTATGATCATGATTGAGTACTTCAAAATCTTTGGTGCATTAGCAACTTTGAGAAGACTTTAAAGTTGTGACTAACAGCATAGCCAACTGTCCGCTTAGCTGTGCAACCTTGGGCAGGATATTTAACTTTCTGTGTCTATTTCTTCATTTGTAAAATGATGATAAAACAGTACCTGCTACATAGGGTAGTGAGGCTCAAATGAATTAATAAGTGTGTAACTGTTTTCAGAGATAATTTAGACAAAAGTTGTTAAGTTTGTCTACACTTTGTAATATGTAGGACTGATTTGAACTCGAATGTTCCTCTGTTTGGTTTCATTACATTTGGAGGCAAACTGTTTATTCTTTCTGTGCCTTTATTTATACCAGCAAAATCGGGAAAGATTAAATGTGATGATGTTTACAAAGATCTTAATAGAGTGCTCAACATAAAGTGGGTGTGCATTAGGCAGTGGAGATGGTAGTGGTTGTAATGGATGTGCTGACTGTGTGTGACAGTAGTGACAAGTGATGGGAGTAGCTGCTGTGAAAACAGGGCTCTGCCAGTGGGGCTGTGCCGAGGGGCCTGAATGAGATAATGCGTGTGAAGTGCTTAGCTTAGTGTCTGCTTCCTGGTAAGTACTGACATGTTAGCTGTCCGGGAGTAGTAGTGGAATAGCAGTAATAATTGAGCCTTAATACATAGTCCTTTCATAGTTGATTTCCTATAAACATTAAAAGCTTCAAGGTTTTTTGTCGAATAATTAACTTTTGTCTTTACATTTATTGCTCTCTTTCATATTTCTGATCAGGATTCTTAAAATGAGTCTGCGGAAGCAAACCCCTAGTGACTTCTTAAAGCAAATCATCGGAAGGCCAGTTGTGGTCAAATTAAATTCAGGAGTGGATTATCGAGGTAATATTTTCAAGTTTTATCCTCACTGGTATAACTAAATAAGTAAATATAACTTAGTGATTTTCATTAATGTGTAAATGTACTCAGTAGACAAAAAAAAATTGATCAGTGTTTTCATATCCATCTCTTTTTCTTCCTTTGAGATGATTCCTTCTAGGAAAAGAAATGCTGATAGCAGTTTGTGCTTCTGACTTCCAGTATTATTTGTGTGAATTCTGTCTCCTGTCTCTGCAATTATGTATACTTAAGCTCCCTGATAATAGGCAGAGATTCCCGATCATCTAGTATAAACAACTGAGTACTGAAGAACACGTTGGCCAGCAGCATTTGTTTTTACGGATACGTTCAAGATTAGCAAGCAATGATTTAGACAGTGTTGGTTTACAGTATGAACTTACAACTCATGTAACAGGTGGGGTATCCAAAGATCCCTTCCTGTGGTTGTAGAGAATACTGCTTAAGAGGCTCTGACTTTAACTTTATGGAAGGAACGGCATCAAATTCCATTTCTTAAGAGTTGCTTGATCTCTTAAGAGATTAAGAGATTAAATCCTTAATCTTCCAAAATTAAGTTTCTTAAATTACTTGAAATATTTCACAGGTATACCTATATAATTATAAGTAATTCATCAGCAAAGTTTTGTGGCCTTTTCTTGGTCTCTTTTCTGAATAATTAATCATACTCTCTTGATCCTTTTCTTCTTTCCACACATGCAGACTTAATTTTACTGAGAGCTTACAGTATATCCATTGTGTGTTAGTCACTGTAAGTTGATTTTCATTTTATCTTCACACAAGTGCTTTGGGATCTGTTGATAGCCCTACCTAGTAAGAGAAGAGCTAGGATTCAAACTCAGACTTGACTCGAACCTTGTAAGAAATTACAGTGCTTTAGTGCTTTAGTTTTTTGACATTAAAAAACATCACCCATTTAATTTGGTTTTTATGTTAGAACAAATGGGATTTGTACTGAATACTGAGATAGTATAAAGTCTTGTGTATTGCTTCTTACCAGTGAGCTTTTGATGACCCCTGAGAAGGTACAGATTTGGGTATATTTGACAGTGGTGGCATTGTGCTTAGTATCTTCTCAGTACCTATTTTATTGAAGAGACCAACTCTCCTAACCATTTTTTGTCTGAATTCTTTAGGAAAAAATGTTTCTCTTTGTGAAAGTTTACTTTTAGTTTTTATTTTTAGAAATTTAGGAGCAAATAATGGAGAAATATGGAAAAAAAAGTCTAAATTCTACCATCTAGAGATAATCTTCCTTATCAGTTGTGACTTCTCTATATACCCTTAATTTTATATAAATGGAATCAACTACATATGCAGCCTGGTTTTATATTTTATTACAATCAATACTTCATTTAGTTCTGTGATAAGATAGCTATCCGTGGCTACATAGTAATCCCTGATGTGACTGTATTATAATTTTATTTTTAATCAGTCTCCTATTTATGTATACTTAGGTGTTTATCTTTTTGTTGTTGTTATTGTTGTTGTTATAAACAACCCTGCTTTTTTGCCATAGATCTTCAGCACTTGCCCAAGTATGTCATGAGAATAAAAACCCAGAACTAGGATTTCAGTGTATGCCAAGTAGCTCTCCGTTGTTTTGGATTTATTGATTTATTTTCTGTGTTCTTAACCAGCCCTTATGTTGGCTTTTGCTTATCGTTTCCAATCTAATTGGCAAAAAGCAATTGCATTTTATTTATGTTTTCTTTGTTCACTAATGAGGCCTGACAGCCTTTCACATGGATTATAACCATAATTTTTCTTCTTGTATGTGTTCATAGTTTCTATACTGTTGAGCAAAATGTTTTACATTATCTAGAGAGCCTTACTAAATAAAAGAATGCACTTATATTTTGTGGTTAAATAATTTTTTTAAGAAACTAATACCTCTGTAGCAATTTCTCTGTACCTTTGGAAAAAAGGCTTAGTTTTCTATTTTTTATAGTAGTGTTTCTCTAGAAGGGTGGAATTGTAACTTACCTCCTGGGCAGGTGGGGTTTTTTTGTGGGGTTTTTTAAGCCTTTGCTATGAGAATAGATATTTTGATTAAAAGTTGAACTTTGTATTTTGAAATAATCCTTCTGATTATTCTGTTTTCATACATATTTGTATATCATGTTTTAAAGTTTCTTGCTCATTTATGATTGTGATTTAAATGTAAGATAGTACAGCAGGAAGCAGACTATAAAATTGTATCTTAAGCTGACTTTTGGTAGGAGATAATTATTCTTTGTAATTCATGGTCCATTCTGGTTCTTTGGAATTTTACTGCTTCTCACAGAATTTCGTTAGGTTAATGTCTTGTGCTCTCCTTACACAAACACACAATTTTGAAAAGAAACTTTTTTGTCTAGAGGATAATGGGGGCAGAGGCAGGGAGTGAGGAGCATATTAATGAAGTTAAGACTTTAAATGAAACTATTGACTCAAATCAGTTCATTGAATTGAATATGTAGAATGTTTTTTTACTTTTTTTTTTTCCCCCAGAAAATAACACTTTAACTGAGAGTTAGAGGCTTATAGAGTTTCATCTTTTGAAAAAAATCATCTGGTCAGATTTTGCAATATTTATACCATTGTAACACAAAGTGATTCACTCAAAAGTGTTTCCTTGAAAGCTCCCCAGAATGTTTTTAGCCATTTTTCTCTATTAGTTTTGATTTGAAGATATTCTACTGAAGCAAAACAGAATGGGATATGTTATAATGCAATATGTTGCCTTGTATTCTCAAGCTGCTCTTCACTGTGAGTCACAGCTTTGAGATGTTCTTTCAGGAGCACCTGCTGTCTCCTCTTCTATTATTTTAACAGATTGTGGAGACTTCCTCTTAACCCTGGAGTACATTCATCTGCTGCAGTAGATGTTGTGAAAGAGTGAAATAAATCTGCCAAACCTGTATTTCACTTAGTGGCTAAAGTAAGAAATTTCACAGGAAGCGAGGATCATTTGTCCATGAATAATTGCCCACTCCTGTCTTTAGCTTCCAGAGAATGGATTTCAGTTGGAATATTCCTATTCTGTTACTTTTGTGAGGGCTTTGAAAGTTGCTGTGGTGCTCATACATACGAAGAGAGAAGTGACAGTTTGTTGCCTGTTCTGTTTTAGTGAGTGCGTGCCTGCTTTCACATTATGCATTTCCTAGCCTGCCCTCAGATTGGCACAGACTAAAGACTCATTTTTTTTTTTTTGGTACCAAGGATCAAACTCAGGTCCTTGTGCTTGCGCTGTAGGCGGCAAAACCTCTGAGCTAAATCCCCAGCCTAAAGACTCATTTTGTGTATAAGTCTATTGGGTTTTGTTTACAGTGTGAATTTTTATGTTATGCATCTAAGGGTGAATGAATAAATTGTCAGTTCTAAGATATACCCTGTAATTTTCAACTCCTATTTACTCTGTATATCGTTTTCACTAAATTTGTCTCCAGGGGTCCTGGCTTGCCTGGATGGCTACATGAATATAGCCCTGGAGCAGACAGAAGAGTATGTAAATGGACAACTGAAGAATAAGTATGGGGATGCATTTATCCGAGGAAACAATGGTAATATTTCTTCACTCTGTGGTTGTACACTATTCAAAATAAGTGTGTTTGTTTGCAGTCAGAAACACTAGAGAGTTTTCTAGATCACTTAAAAGTTTGGTTTTAGTTTAGTTGTTTTGTTTTGTACGCGTATATATCTCAGATCTTCAGTGTGATCATTCTTTTTTAGATGGAAAATGGAATTTTCCATGGAACTAGAAATTCCCTTTCCCTCCCTTTACTAATGAGGAATTGAGGAACAGGGGCCAGGGATTTAGCTCAGTGGTTCCGCCGCCTGCCTCGCAAGCTCAAGTTCCTGAGTTTGATCCCCAGTACCAAAAAAAAAGAATTGAGGAACTTTGGTTTGCTAACCTAGAACCCTGTTCTTTTAAATATCATTTATCTTATTACCCCCACACATATTCTCTCCCCTCAGGGTCTAGAGACTCGGGAGTAAGAATGGACATTACTTCCCTGCTATCTTTAATTGACATAATTTGGTACTTAACTTTTACTGTTTGTCCTTTTTCTGTTAAATGTTCAATGCTTTTTTTAACAATTAATACATTGCTATGATTACTGTGATTATTTTTAAATCACCTCATTTCACAACAAATGTCAATAAAGTCATACTTAAATTTTTGGCAGAAAAGGGTAGATATCAAAATTAGGAATTATCTATCAATTCCCACTTTTTAGTCCACCCCCGCCCCCCCATGAAGCTGTAAGAATTCAGATTTTTTATTGATTTCTTTAATTCTGAGTAAGGGGATCTTCAGCCCCTTAGCAGTTGGATCTTTTTGGTATAAACTGTCAGTACCATATTTCCTATCATATCTTTATATCCACCTTTTGCTTGTTTTTAAATCCTTCCCAACATTCTTCCTGTGTTTTTCATGTTGTTCTTATTTGACTTCCTCCTTTTACTAAGAAATGTTACCATCTTGCCTTATCTCAAGACTGATGGCACCTGTACATGACAGGTGACAGGGTCTTCCTTTCAAATGCACCTTACACTAGGACTTGGAAATTTTCCTGGAGTGTCTTTCCTGGTATTGTGATGTATTCTTTTCCATACAGTAATCAGTAACAGTTGTCTGTAGACTCCCCAGTTCACATCTTTGGCTCTTAAAGAAAATCCCAACTCATTTGATTATCTGTGCTGGCTTTCTTGACCAAGACATCTCTTAATGTTCCCTTTGAATAAACATGAGAATCGAGCATGGCTGGGGATGGGAGAGGAGTTTTACCTCTGGTGAAAACTTAAACTGGGATCTGGTCATCTAATTTCATCCTATTCTCATGTACCACTTGTTTTACTGAGTTCAGTTTGATGGTCATGATAGGACTAGTTAAAGTAAAGCTTTGGGCAGCAACAGAGTTTGAGACTCGTGACAGGGATCTCAGAATAAGGACTTTGGTATGGTATCTCTTTAAAAATTCTCAGTTTTTGTTTGTCTTGTTAAAATTTAAAAGGTAAACGGCAAGTTCAGAGTTTACAGTGGGGTGATGGAGGAAAACATGCTATTCATTCTTAATGATGTGTCTTAAGTATAAAGCATTCTTAGGTTCTAGGGACTTTTGCTTTTGTTTTATTTCATTTGAATTCCTGGGCACAATTTGTAAAGCCTTTGAGATGCATAGACAAGTTTAGACACAGTAGTATGACATCAAACCTAGGTCTAGATTGACAAGATTAGTCATATAGCGGTCCCAGAATTAATTGCACAGTATGAGAATTCCTTTTAAATTTGCAGAGCTGCCAGGCCAAAATCCATTTGCTTTTTAAAACTTGCTACTATGATTCTTAAGAGCAATTATTAAAAATTTATTTGTTTTTGTCTTTTCAGTATTATACATAAGTACACAGAAGAGAAGGATGTGAAGACACCAGGGAAGCAATTCTTTTCATAGCTGGAATATATTTTTTATGAAATGTTTTCTATTTTTTAGTTCTTTTGTGTTGTAAGATGTCTTGCCTTCATAGTTGGTGATTTTTCACCTACATGTGAGTAAGGTAAATGTATAAAATTACGGATTGAATTATAAGAAGTTTTTCACATTTAAGTTTCAGTCATTTTCTTTTACTTCTTTGTCACTATACAAAGTGCTAAAAGAATAAAAAAAGCCAAAATCTGTTTCTTACAAGATTGTTTAACTTAAGGTTTAGGCAGTGTCATTTGCTTTACTTATTCAGCTGACGAAAATGGTGCATACCCAGACATGTAATTAAAACATTGTAGAAGCGTTCCCCTTTATCCTCTCCTCTCCTGCTCCCCATCCATGCACCACACAGAGACTTGGGTAAAATATTGCACGAAGGCATCCAGTTTCAGTCGGAAGCCATAAAAAGGGGCCATGAGGTCAGAAAGGCAGCTGCTGATCCAGCCACCTAGATAGAAAATACAATTGGGGCTCTTCACAGTGGCAGTTCCATGAAAGCAGTGGGACTCTCAGTTGAGTTGGAGAAATTTTGAAGATTAACCATATGGTTAGGTGAAAGTTTTCCTGTGAGCAATCACCATACAACTCCTTCTGTGAAGTTAGACTTTTTAAATGTTCTTGCTCCCTTTCAGGAGTGTTGGCGTCAGCGTTAATCCCTGTGCACACAGGAGATGAGGAGCCACTCCTGTGCATCTGTAGCAGTCATTTCTGTTAAAGCAGAGCCTATATTTGTAAACTCATTCAGGTTTCTCAGCTGTGCTTGGGAAGGAGCTTCTAACCCTCGCCTGGCAAGTGACTTTGGGGAAGCCTTTCTCTAAAATCACAGCTGTATTCAAGTGTGACTTTAGCCTTTCTTGTCACTTGGCACAAGGCAGCTCCTCCACATTACATGACTCCTGCAGAGAGGGTTTGCACAATTAATTAATGAGCTTTTCACCACCCTGCTTTATTCTGCATAGTTTTAAGCTGTGTCTAGGAACAATAAATATATCTGGGTGCTGTGGCCCAGTGGACACCAGACAGTGGTGTGAACATTGTGTTGGCCTTGCTCTTCCTCCTCAATCTAGCAGAGTCCTTGCTTCAAAAGCCGGTGCTGTGGTTTGAAGCGATTGCCTGATAGAGGGGCGTGGGGGCAGGAGGAAGGAAAGGGGTGTTGCTGTTTCTGGAAAGGTATATATGTCATTTATCTTGTTTTATTTTAAAGATCAGAGAGTAATTGGGAAAATTGTTTTTTAATTAATAACAAAAAAGGTGAATAGCAACATTTCATAAGGCTTCACTGTGTACACACTGAGAATAAAACGTTTTATACTATGCTTCAATAATGTATCACTTCTTGACAGGGGCTTGAAAAGGGTCCAGTCTGTAAGTACAGATCACCAATTTGCTCTTTTATAAATGACTTCTTTTAAGGAGAAATGGGTGTTCCTCCAAGTGGAGCGCACATGCTCTCATTTGTTTGGTAGAGTACGCGAGGCTGCCAGGTTCCCGCATCCCTTCATTCACTCACATCAGCCATTGTCTCCCACCACCCTGTAGCCTCCTGTTTTTGCTAACTTATTCCCTGACCTGCCTGACAGCATATGTCTTTATTTCCCCTTGCCATCTCTCCACTTTAATAGCTCTACAGTAGAGTAGTGTTTTCATCCATGGAACTACTTTTAATCAAGATTGATTTTGGGAAATGCTACCATTTTTATGGTAATAAAGAACTGTATTATGCACTTGGACCAGCTCAAGTTGTCCCTAGTGTGTAGCTTCATGTAGTAGAACCATGAAACAAAGTGTAAATGCTAAAATTACTTTTTTCTTAACTGTAGTCTCCTCGAGGTCAGTGAATGATTTCCAATTGCATTGTAGCAAAGATATTTGTTCTAGGTTGAAGAATTTTTTATTTGAGCCAATATGTTCTTAGCAACTCTGCCCCCAAGCCCTGGCTGCCACGTTCTTTCTCCTGGGCTGTGACAAAACAGAATATTTAGTGGGAAACAGAATTGTGCTTGATTTGTAGACTATCTGACTTCACATTCTGTTTTGGTCTTTGAGTTATTCCTTGGCTAATCTTCCACCAAGTTGAATTGATTCTTGCTTCAAAACTGTTTATCCCAAAACAGAGCTGTTGACAAGTACAAATACAGATGGCAGACATGTGGTCTGATTTTTATGTTCTCATCTCAGCATTCAGAGAAGGAATGTTACTGAGAAATGGTTTACATCTTGAGTCTCTTGTTCAAGGCAATATGTAATACATGCTGGGAGTTCCTAATTATGTGGCAAATAGTACCAAATGCTTAAGGGATTTTCTTAAACATTCACTGGGTGTGTAAGGCTTATCACACTGAAGGCTGTAATAATCTAGTTCATAAAAATAGAAACCTATCAAGACCCTGACTCAGAGAAATAGAAAATAAAAAAGGCTGGAAATACAGCTCAGTCCTAAGGCCCTGAGTTCAGTCCCTATACCAGCTATGTGTACGCACACACACACCCAAAGGAGCATTCTCTAAAGGGAATATTGTCTTGGATAATCACACTAAGAGGACCTCACTGTAGCATTCAAGGATGAAGATCTCATCTGTTCCCTCACTCCGTAGCCACAGCCATGTTTGCCTGGATCTCTGTCCTCAGGGCAAATAATCTTCCAAACTTTTAGCTCACTTTTGTATTCAGAGGCAGATCCTGGCCCATCCTGGGATCATTACTTTTTATTTTCCTCCCCAAAAAGAAATTAGAGCAAGACAAGCTGCAGTTCTCTCCCTGGCCTTGTTTTAGGAGGCTCTTACTCAGCAGCATGCCTCTAATTGTCTTTAGTAGGTTGCCTCTGGTCACTGTGGAGCCAGACCCAGTAGAGTTGTGGGGTTGGGGTTGACCTCTCGGGTCTGAGTGTCCAGCGACTACTTTAATTCTGGTAGCTGCTGCCTGTTGGTACCTAGTACATGGCAGTATAACCGTAAGTGTCTGTTGTTGGACCACCTTTTTTTTTTTTTAATTTTATTGGTACAATAAAATGACTATATACAATATACAATATAATGACATTCATCATTGGAGATATGCACCTTTACATAATCTCTCTTGATTCTTATTTTTTCCCCCTTCCCCTGCCCTCCCTCCAACCCCTCCATCCCTCCCTATTCACAAAGACTTTGTTTCCATTTTTTCATTTTCTCATATTAATTCCATTCCCTTCTTTTCCTTTCCCCTACCCCTCCCATTTCCCCTTCCCCTTTGCCCCTTTTCTTCCGATTTCATATTATCTATTATGCCTTTTAGTCCTTATTTACACTTTCAGTTTCTCACACTAGAGAAACTATTCAGTATTTACACGTGTGTGTCCTGTTTATTTCACGTAAGTATCACCTCAGTGTGCATCCATTTAGCTATGAATGTCTCTAATTTCTTATTTTTATGGCTGAGTAGTACTCCATTTTATAAAAAAAACACATTTTCTTTATCCAGTCTCCAGTTGATGGGCATTTGCACTGTTTCCAAGTTTTAGCTGTTACAAATGGTGCTGCTATGAACATAGGTGCACATATATCACTGTGGTATGATTCTTTTAATTTTGGGGGGAAGATAACCAGCAGTGGAATAGCTGGGTCAGATGGGACCTCTAGTCCTAGTTCTTTGAGGTATCTCCATACTGATTTCCACAGTGGTTGC